AGACTTTTGATTTTTCTTACTAAACCTATGAGAAAACTTCAGCTTTAGTCTTCCCCATCTACTAGTCGAAGCTATCATCATCTGTTGCTTGGCTAACTGGACTTCCTGCTTTTGGTACCTGGGTCTCTATATTCTGTTTTCAACACTGAATCCAGAGGATCCTTTCAAAATTTCAGTCAGATAATAGATCATGTTAACCCTCTGCCCAAAGCCTTCCAGTGACTTTCCAGAATAAAAGTTCAAAGTCTCTGTTGCTATTCTAAAAGGCCCTGAAAGTTCTGGCTGCTGCTATCTCTCTGATCTCAACTCCTATCTTCGCTCACTCTGCTCCATCCACATGGGCTTCTTTGCTATTCTTTACACAGAGCACAGTGATCCTGCCTCAGGGACTATATGGTTAACTATTCTGCTCTCCTGACCTAGACATATGGTTCAATCTCTCAGTGCATTAAGATGCTAATCTTATCAGAGAACCCATCTCTGACTATCCTAAAATAGCGAGCAACCCCAGTACCCAATAAATCCTTAACCTTAATTGTTCTTTACCAGTCACCAACTAATATACATTTTTATTTGTGTTCATTGTCAGAAGGTAAGCTTCATGAGCGCAAATGCATGGTTTTGCTCTTTGCCATACTGCTGGGCTTATAACTCTGCCTGCCTGATAGCAAGTGATGAGTAAGTATTTGAAAAGCATTCTGAAATTTTCATCAATTATGTAGAAGAAAGACCTAGACAAAAGTCCTTTCTCCTCAGTATCCTGATTTTAGGGGTCAGCATGATCCACTGGGTGGACTTCAGATTAGGTGCACATTCTGTGCTAGGTTTAGTGGGGGACACAGGGGAAAAGCAAAGACCCATTAAGAATAGTGAAACAAATCACTAAAGATTCCTTAAATAATCATCTATGATGATCTTCTTCAGGCATATTTCTTTTTTTTTTTTAAGTTTTGCATATCTACTTTGATATGAATTTTACTTTTTCAACTATCCAAAAAAATAGGACTCTGTCTTTTGAATTTGAGATGATATTTATTTTGAAACAGGCTTGAATTCCTCTACTTTTAAACCTTGAGTCAAAGGTGGCAGTTTTTTTTTTTTTTTTTTTTTTTTTTTTTTGTGTTAATGGAAACAGTATTACAACCTGGAAAGGGCTACTTATTTCTCATGAGAGACAGAAGCATGTTACAAATGAGCGTCTGGGTTGGAGCCTCTGCCATTTGTGTTAGTGTGTGGATTCCGCTTGCTTATCTTGGTAGCTGTAGCTTTATTATACAATACCGCAGCTTTGTGACTGAGTTTTATGTCGAACTCTCACGTCACATAATGAATGGTTTCTTCCACTGTGCATGAAGTTGAAACCCTGACTGTCTTTTCTCTTTTCAAATACGGTGTCTCCAGGGCCATTTTCCCTTCTCTTTTTATATCGATAGCAGAAAAGTAGCACCTGATGGTCACAGCAGAAGGGCAGGTCGTCACGGACAGAGGCCGTGGGAGCTGATCATACTGCCATGTATTAATAGTCCTGTGAAACCAGTGGCATAAGTTCAGTCACAAGAGGGGATAAATATTTGCCCGCTCATGAATTTGCTTCTGCGTAGCTGCTATATTGAGACATAGCCTCCAGGGAAACACTATCTTTGCAGACAAGTTATTCAGGGTTGCCTCAAAGGACCCCCATGCCACTCTGCTGAAGGCTCCCGTTCCCATATTAAGCATATTTGCAGAATCACCTTCTCTTTAGTTATCCCCTTGTGTAGGTGAAGGCAAGGGAGGTAGGGGCACTGGTCTGGGAGTGAGGCACCCAGAGCCCTGTTACTTATGTGCAGCCTTGCGCCAGTCACTCAGCTCCTCCAGGCCATAGTTGCTAGATCAGTAAGATAAAGATACCCATATGTCACTGTTGTTCTCTACTACTCTCTGGTTTCACTAAGTTGTATGTTTCCTAGTCCCCCAGCTATTGGCAAACAGGAGTATATATTGTCTTACAGAGCATGCAATTCCCCTTGAATACCAGAACTCCATCCCGTGTGCCACGTCCTTATGGGGGGTTAAGGGCTGGGAGCCAGGAGGGAACAACTGCTCTTTCTGAGGTCAGTGTGAAGAGAGGAGAAGCCAGAGAACGCAGACACCAGGAATTCTATTTACATTTATAACAGCAGAGGCCAGAATCATGTAGAAATATTAATAGCTTTGGGCTTCAGTCCCCAAATTGCAAAACAAAACAAAACAAAACAAAATACTATTTATTTGTAGCAGAACTTTCAACTTGAGACTTTTCTGGAACTCTTCATTTATTTACATTCCTTTACTAGTAAAAACAAAATGTATTATGGAATTGTTCTTTTTTTTTATTTTCTTGGGAGGTGGGGAGGAAATAGAAAAAAAAACTTTTCATATTTATTTTAATATGGAAAAACATTGGAAAGGTCATGAACATTCCTCATGAAGATTGTATATAGCTAACAGCAAAAATACCAATCGTACAAATATTTGTAGCATGAATCATTTCTTAAAATGCCGCGTGGTTTTTCCTCTTAAATAATTAAAAGTAATCAGCATTCACCATCATTAGGTTGCTAGCAGCTGTTGCAACCTGATCATTATTTCTGAGAGATCTTTGGGATGTAGTATCTTTGCACTGCAGTTCAGGCTACAGGCTATCTTTAGCTAACCCCAGCACCTGAAAGGGAAAGTTGTCATGTGCCCTTTCCCTAGTTATAAAGATTAAAGCTATTCTCTCTGTATTAGGAGCCTTAGTATAACCACAGTTTTATAATTTTTCCCATAAATAATTATTTTGAATTCAAAATGTATTTGAAATCTGCCATATTTTTTCCTAGTATAAGATATTTACCATCTGAAGTCAAGATGAACCATGGTATGGTTACTAGTGTGGCCTTGAATAATTCTGCCTGGCTGGCAGTTCTGGGGTTGATTGAGCCCTGACTCTATTTTCAGAAGAAGCTGGGTTTTGTCCCCATGGCGAAGGGGTCAATGACAAGGTGCTTGGGCCAGAAGAGGGGCTGTGGTATTGATGGCAGCTATGTCAGGCAGCTCCTGCCAGGAGTCCTGGTGATGGCAGGAAGAGTAATTGTTCACGGTGGCTCAGGAAGGCCAGGAGGGGATGATGGTTGTCACCAAAGAGCATAGACTATCCCCGCCCCATCTTCCTACTTATGAGCTAACCTCAGCTTCTGAGCTTATAAAGGCATGTAAGTGGAAGGGTTCTGTGTTTATTGCTGTGCTCCCTTAGGTTTTAATCCATGAAATGAAAGGTACCTAAACTGGAACTCATGTGTGCTTACCTTTACAACACTGGTTTCAATCAGAGAATTGGTCAATCAATACATGTTTGAGTAGCTACTGGGTGCAAGTCCCTGTGATCTCCTTTGATTTGGGCCATTGTCTGGTTCCTTCAACAACACAGATAAATTGGCAGCTATCTTTATTTTAAAGCTCCTTGAAAGAATGCAGCTAAATCCTTCTTTGCTAAGGAAATATAATTTAAAAGCCTCTCAAAATGCACTTGAGTGGGTATGTGGATACTTATATCATTTGATGGCAGTGAAGTGATAAATGGTTCTTTAGAAATCTGCTGATGGTATTTTGAATATTGGACATAGTCATTGTTTAAAGCCAAAATCCAGTTTTTTTTTTCCCCCTCCAAACAGGCCTGGTTTCAGTAGTTGCCTTTGTGCTTGTTGACTTTTAGTAAATATCCTTCAGTTTCTGTCATAATATTACTCCTCCAGTGACTGTGACTTTGATTTCAAAGGGTTCTGCTGAGTCTCAATAGAGAGCTGTAGGATGATGTTGGTGCTTTGCCCAGAACCCTCAGATCCTCGCCCTGTTGGTTTGGGCGCTTTCCTGTCCAACAGCGCCAGCACTGACCTCAGGCTCCTTGAGTCCGCCTTGCCTGGCGGCACAGAGAGCCAGTGTGAGTGCCTGGAAATTTGTGCCCTTGGTTCCTCCTGCACCTCTAAGCCAATGGCAACAGTTTCGTAATGTGAAAGCCCAGTGTCCTTGCCTCCATATGGGATAACTCTGAGCCCCACTGCAGAGCCAGGCTGAGGCCAGGCTTTGCCTGAGATTGTATGCTTGCTTGGATTTCTCCCCTTCCCCTTCCTATTTCCCCCACTCTCTTACTGATCTCTCCTGAGAGTATGTCCTTAATTGTTAATTTGTACACACTAATCTTCATCTCAGGGTCTGCTTCTGGGGAAAATGATCTTAAAAAAAATCCTTTGTCACTGTGTTTCCCAAACTGAGCACCAAAGTGCTCTGGGGCTGCAGAGAACTCCCACGGGCAGCATGGGCTATTTTAAATTTTCAAGGAAAACACAGCGTTACTCAACATCCATCAGACACAGCACAAACTACTCAAGGTACTTAATGATTTCAACATCAGATTCTACTACCTTCCTTTACATCATGGCATATCTTTCTGAAGCTGGGTTTTCACCAGTTGCCGTGACAAAAAGCAAATATCCTATGAAAATCAGGTGGAAGAGGAAACAGGGATGGTGGTGTCCAGTCTGATTCCTAGGCTTGAGAAGTTGTTTCATGTCCACAGGCGCACACACCCCATTAATAAATAAGTGTGGCTATGAAAATAACTTTAATGTATGCATATTATGTTTTCACATGGATACTAAGTTATTAAGACATGATTATTATTAAGTGGGACCTAACTAATTTTTGGAACTTTTGGCTATTTCTTTGGATTTGGGGGTACCATGAAACATTACTGAGTCGGCTAAAGTGGCATAAACTAAGTAAGTTTGGGGGGGCTCTGCTTCATAGTGACAAAGATGGTTTAAATGTTTTGAATTAAAATGGATCAAGTGTCCAAGTACCAAATAACAGTCCTCATTGCAAATAAATGAATTGCTTATTCCTTTATGTGTTCTTTATACTCATTCATAGTCTTGTACTGTTCATGAATGGTCACACTGGGGTTTTAGACATGAAGATATTCTTTTGTTTTTTTCTTTCAGAGAGTGGGTTAATCGAGCCCCATCTATTCATTTTCTGAGAGTGTTAATCTGCCTGAGGCTACTAATGAGGGATCCATGTTACCAGGTTGGTTGGAAAAAAAAATTTTTTTTTTACTTGTTATAAAGATGAAATGAAAAATGGGTGGGCTTTTCTTTGAAGCAGTCCATATTAGCTTTGTTTTTCTCTTTCATAACTCAATAGCTTCCATATTTGGGAAGTATCTTATCTACTATTTAAAAAGATTTGAAAGAAGTGCTTTAGTGGGGACAAAAAATCTGTATAGTTCTGCTGTATTACTTATGAGATTAAGTGGATTGAACTTGTGGTCTATGTTTTCATTGCCACCTGTCATTTTAAACCATTCACAGTTCAAGGAGATGTACACTGGGCCAAATCTTCAAGCATGTTCAAAGCCAAACAGCTCACTAGGGCAAAGTCAGCAGTGACAAGTAGGGGCCTTCTATTATGGCTCCAAAGGCAGCCAGTGGGGAAGGCAGGCCCTGCAGCTTTAGTGGCTGCTCCAGAGGTCATCCCTTCTCAACCTCTAGCCTAAGACTGAGTGGGAGGTGAGCAAGGGGCTTCCCACTTCTCTCAGAGTAGGGTATTGAGGTCAAGAATCTTTCCCTTCTCTCTTTAGTTAGTTTGATGTGCTGCTTCTAGTTTAGTGCCCCTCAAACCTTAATGTGCATAGAAATCACCTGGGGATTTTTAAAAATGCAGATTCTGATCCAGTAGTTGTAAACTGAGACCCAAGATTCTTCATCTCTAACTATTAATAGTATCCAGGGGATGCTGTTGCCACTGGTCCACGGCCCCCACTTTGAGTAACAACAACTTAGTGCTTTAGCAGTAAGGCTCTAAAGAAAAGCTTACTTAATATTTTATCTGGACCTAGAAAGTGTTTCCTCCCAGTCTCAGCTGGTAGATAAATAGCTGATTGCGTAAAGCAGCAGCTCTCAAATTTTATTGTCTATCAGAAACACCTGGAGGACTTAATGATTTCTGGGGCCACCCTCATAGTTTCTGATTCATTAGGTTTGGGGCTGAGCCTGAAACCATGCATTTTCAACAAGTTCCCAGGTGAACGTGATGCTGCTAGTCAGGGGACCACTGTTTGAGGGTCATTTCCCCGAAGCTTCAAGATTGTTTATTGATTATTGTTTTTGTTTGTTGATGTTAAATATATAAGGAGGGTTCTTGTTATTCATGCATGCTTCTGTAATTTTCACAGATTATTATTTTTCCTAAGAAGTATCTCCTTTTATGCCCTGTCTTCATAAGCTATAAGGACGCTCAGACCACTCAGATCTTTTATTATTTTGGATTCAATCTTATTGATGATGTCTTGAGTCAATGTGTTTCCTGTAAGTGCCAAGTTTGGAAAAGTAGCCATCTTTTCCAAAACGTGTTTTGGTACCAACCAGCTACAAACCCTGCTCTGAATCGAGTCTTCTGTCATTCATGGTCACTACACATCTTTCCATTAGAAGAATCACCTCCTTCCTCCTATTACACTCTAAACTGGTCTTGTGTTACTATAGTTTGTTTAGTTAACCACACCCCTTTGCATATGCGACTCTGGGCATCCTCTAAACAGCTTTCTGTACTGGTTGCTCACAATTTTCTGCATAGGTAGCAACCTTTTCTTTCCATGACCAACCATATAGAACCTTGTGTTCTATGCATTTCTGAGCTGCTTTTTGCAACTCCATGTGGGTCTTATATAAGGCTGGGCCATATGTTTCATTTTGCTGGGGGCAGTCTCAGAATGTGCTCATTGTTCCCGCTTAATTGTTAATGGCACTCTCCTTTACTCCTTAATGTGTCTTAGTTTGGATGAAAACATCATATGTGTAATGTTCAAGGAGGAAGATCCAGTTTTCAGACTTGTAGGAGTTATCAAAATATTTGCTTTAGAGATGTCCTGTTTGTTTAGAAAACTGATGACAATGGTGCCCTATTCTGCTGGTCTCCCATCTAGAGTACTGCCTTTCTTAATCTAGTTCTTGATGGATTGGAACAGGGTTGATTGTATTGCCCTCTAAAGGAAAGAATTCAGTGACCACTTCGTTTATGAGATTTTATAAACACATTTTATAAAATGTGCATATTAAACTAATATCTCCTGATTGCCAGTCTTTCCACAGAAGGGAATTTTCTCCGAGTCTCTTCCCCCTGGCACCTTCACACAGAAGAGCATGTGCTCAGGCAGTTGTTTAACATCTTGAGTTGCCAAGAATTGTTGGCTGAAGTTACAAAGCTGTGCTGGGGTTTACAATGACTTACGCCAGTGAGTCTCAGCAAGCCTTCGTCATTGCTGTGCATTTCTGTCCCCTCTTGTTGAATCAGTACTGCAGGGTCCACAGGGGCTATTCCAAACCATTTCCACTTCTCTCTCCCCAACCCCCTCCTGTCCCCATTGGTCTCATCAAATTACATCATCATTGTCTATTTTACAGGGAAGACTCGAGCTATCTCAGCGGGAGCTCTCTTATTTTCTGCTCTTTGTTGTTTGAAATATTTGGATTATCCTGCAACTTTACTTCTTTATTATTTCAGAAGTAATATTCCTTCTCCTTGCCAAGGCTTATCCCTCCCCCTGTTCCCTGTTTTAAAGTGTCAGTGGTTCCCTTTCTATTTTCTCTTATCATAAAAATCTCCTTTTCCTGATCCAGTTATTTTTTTTTTTGAAGTCTTATTCTTACCTTCGTTACTACATTTCTTTAAAGGGTAGGCTCTGTTTCATGAATCCACTTTCTGTCCGTCAGAACTGATGTATTGCATAACTTGCACATTGGATTCTATGCACAAGTTTCTCTCTGGAAGCCATCCAGATAGACCATACTGCGCCACACCTTAGCCCTTCATTCCTTGACCTAGCAGGGGTCCTCAAACTATGGCCTGCGGGCCACATGTGGCCCGCAGAGGACATTTATCTGGCCCACCGGGTGTTTTTGCCACCGCTGCCTGTCCTGCTTAGCAGCTGACTCATCCCGTCCCGGGCCCACAGTGCGCATGTGTGGAATGTGCACCACACTCTCCAACGGCCCTCCAACAGTCTGAGGGACAGTGAACTGGCCCCCTGTTTAAAAAGTTTGAGGACCCTTGAAGAGGTTTGCAGACTGGTGGCTTGTAGATTGGAGCTTGCCTGCCAGTACACAGAGCTTCCAGTATATATTTAAAGGTGTCTCCAGCAAGAAAAGACTAGAAGAAATGCCTGAGAAGCCATTTTTGAAGATATAATTGCTGGGAGTTTTTTTTTTTTTTCAGAATTAAAGACAGATGTAGGTATTGAGATTTCAAGTGTAGTTGGAGTTTCAAGGAGGATAAAGATAAATGTTCACCTGGATTCATTATAGTGAAGCCATAGCACATTGCTTATCAAGGATAAAGAGAAAATCTTAAAAGCTCCCAAACTGCACTTGTATTTGAAACAACAATAAAGAGATAGTTGAATTGAGTAGCCTTCTCTTAGTCCTTACATTCCCCAACCTTTCTTTAGCAGGAGACACCCTTTATCACATTTTCGCTTTGCCTTCACTGACCCTGAGAACCTCTAGCTCTTATTTGGCATTTTTGGAGTAATTTTTACACGCTGCTGCCCTTAATCTTGTCTTCTTAAATGCTAACTTTCCTCAAAGTTTTTCTTCCCTTTATCATCTTCTCCAATATCTTCCTGGCTCTCGGCTTCAACTATCATTTATTTTTGTTCTTTGCTCACAAGTCCATATTTTCAGAGTCAAACTTTCCCCTTTAAGTTCCAAATTTCCAGAGACATATTAGACAGCCACTTCAATGATCCAGTAGTTTGGTGGTTCTCAAAGCATGGTCCATGGAATGCCTGCAGGTCTCTAAGACCCTTACAGGGATTCCACAAGTTCAAAATTACTTTAAAAATATATTGTCAAGGTGTTATATGTCTTTTCACTGTCACTCTCATACAAGTGTGCAGTGGAATTTTCCCTATGCCACACCACATGCCATGGCTCTGGCAGCTGATGGGGCATGTGCTTGTGCATTCTTGTGTTTTTAACATTTCTCACTTTTAATTTCTAACATGGTAAATATAAATCAATAGTTTACAACCCATATAAACAAATCTCTTTGGGGTTCTCAGTAATTTTTGAGAGGGTAAAGGAGTTCTGAGACCAAAAGTTTGAGAACCACTGTGGTAGCACATTACACTCAATAACTTTAGAATGGAGCTCTTCAGTTCTTCCCTTTGTCCTTGAACCTTCAGAATCAACTGCTGATTCTTTTAATGGTGCTGTATTTCCTCATCTCTATGTTTCCTGTTTACTCCTTTACAAATCTAATATACCAAACCTTTTAAAAGAGTAGTTACTATTATAAACCTGGAAAGATAAGTAAAGGCCAGTCCATAGAGTGGTGTTAAAATTGTGACCAAGGAATAAGCAGTGTGGAGCCACTGATGATTTCTGAATAGAGGAGTTAAAATGGTCATGTTAGTGATTCAATGTTAAAACCTATTTCAGTGTGTTCAGCATTCATTGATTTAGTTAATAAGTGGGCTTAGGATGAGGGTGCCTAAAGGGAAATGATGTTTTTGTCCATGGTGAAAATAGTGGTGGACAAACACTCCCCCTCATTCTCTGGCATTTGGCATAAGGTGTTCCATTTTTTTTTTTTTTTTTGATATGGGGTCTTACCATATTGCCCAGGCTGTCCTTGACCTTCTGGGATCAAGTGATCCTCCTGCCTCAGCCTCCTGAATAGCTGGGACTATAGACATGAACAATTTTGCTTGGCTTTAATTTTTTAAAAACATATTTTTTATACCAGTATTATATTTTTGGATCTATTTTTTTTTTTTAGAAAAAGGAAAGAAGGGAGTAAGCAGAACAAAGACATTGTTCATATTTTATAGATTAAACTGAAGTTCACATCGACTAGGAAACTTTCTCCAGGTTATTAGCTACAGAAGTATAGAATGCAGTTTTCTGATCCTCTGGCTGCTGATGGGGGGAAGATGCTGAGGTCTGGAAGGGCACGCAGGAGGTGTTACCGTAATCTGAGATTCCAGTCATATTTGCTTTTCAGATCACTAGTAAGAACGGTCACGCCTCGGTATATACATATCTTGTAGTCATGGTTTTCTTCAGTTTACACTCTCGGGTTAGTGCAGTCTCATTGGTATAAGGAAAGGAAATACAAGGAACACTGTGTGAGTCGGTGAACAGTCTCCTGGCCTTACTCCACTCTACATAGGAACATGGAGGGAAAGTGTTCATTTCATAAACCAAGGTTAAATTCTCAAGTAGGTAACAATGAAATTCTCTAAGAGTGAGAAAGCCTCCCATTCCTATACTTTATAGCAGCACTTCTCAAACTGTATTCCACATGAGTAATATGTGCTCTGTGAAAAGAAGTGTGCTTTGGTTAGTGATGTTTAGGGAAACCTGCATGCTAGCTTTTCCCCTTGGAGACTCAGTGCACAGTAGCATAGGAAAGGCGCTGAGGGAGAGTGTGTTAAATTCTGTTTAACCTAGCATTTCCCAAGCTGATCTGAGCATAAAACTCTTTTTCTTTTCTTTCTTTTTTCATAGAATGCCTAATCCCATTTACTGTCCAAAATAAAATGCCTGTTTCCAGGATGTAGTTTGGAAAACTTTGACTTTCTCCCATGTTTTTAGTATTATTAGACAGATACATTTCTTGTCATGGTTTACTTCTAAAAATAACATTACCATGACTGATCATTTAAACATTATTCTCTCCCCTGATATCTTCCCACTCCAAAGCTTTAAGTTTGAATCTCCTTCATGTGAACGACTCCTAGATTTCAATGTTCTGCCCTCACCAAATTTTCCATGACCCATTGTATTTTTTTTCACCCGACATCCCATTAGCACGTTGGCGTGTGTGAAACTGAGTCTTCTCCTCTAGCCCAGTCTGATTTTCACCCATCTCCCGTGTCTGTTAATTGTGTCATTATCCCTAGTCACCCACGCTCAAATAGGCTGGTGTCTTCTACTTTGCTTCTTTGCTTCCAGTCTGTCTTCATGCTCAGTTGGTCGTATCACCTGAATGACTATCACTTTCTCTCCATTCTTAGTCTTACTGCCACTGACTCCCAGCTGGGCTCCCAGTTGACAGTCTCTCTCTTGTGCAGTCCATTTTAAGACTAGAGAGAAGTCCTCACAGCTGGCTCTGCCCAGTTCCTTGCTCACGCATTTTCACTGGGTCTCACGGTCTACATGAAAAAGTTCAAATTCAGAGTCACATGTAAGTCCTCCCAAAGTTTGATCCTACCCTAGTTTTCTAATATTTTCCCCAATAATGCCTTTCATAAACTTATGGAGCTGCTTCTCTCAGAGTTACAGAATGTCTTGATGTTTTCTCTATACAATTTCTGTGTGCCTTTAAGCTTACATTCTCTTAGCTTGAAGTTTCCTTTATTTTCCCTATTTCTCATCTCTACTCAGCAAATCCATCTGTCCTTCCAATCCCTGTTGAGAGACCACCCACATGAAGTTTTCCTCCGTCCTCTCAGCAGGAAATGAGATGTCCTTCTGGTGCATCATGACGCTTATCTTATTCTTTCTTAAATTCTAGATGTTTGTATAATTACTTTATGCTCGCCTAAAGCTTATCTACATATTTGTGTCCTCTTCAGAGCCTAACTCAGGGCTTTTACCTATCAAGAATGAAAAAAATATCTGTTGTATATATGTAAGTGGTTTTAGATGTTATTTTTATTTTTATATGTATGAAACATTCTACCATAAATAGGGTCGGTGTATGCAATATTCTTGTGTTCTTTAATTATAGCTCTTCTAGAGTGAATAGCATTGATGAGCTTCAAACTGCTAGGTAGTCATAGAACTATTATTAATTGAATTCCAAATGTTCCTTTTTATTGACTTTAGACATGGGTATGTTTGTTGTTTCTAAGTTTACCTCACACAGAGTAAGGTAGTGACCCAGGAGGCCTTCAGTACCTGTGCCTCTTCCCCAACCTGTCCACCTGGTCAGTTTCACGGCAGAACTAGATTGTTCTCTCTCATGTTCACGTACTCGTCCCTGTGCATTTCCCAGAACTGAAATGATGGCTGGTGTTTGTATTTCAAATAACTTCCTTGTGTGCATGTTAAGTAAGGAGAGAGACATCAATACAGCTTTATTAAGTAGATTAGGGCCACCTGAAAACATTTGCCTGCAAATAAATGCCAATGTGGATAACCTAAGAACACCAAGGATTAGTAGAGTTCCAAGCTGGTCCCTTTCACAGCTTCAACCTCTCCCCTCTTCTCTTCTCTAATTAGCACTTTCAGAGCAGCTTCAGAAGTATATCAAAATGTTTACTTATTGGGGATTAGATTTAAAGTCCTATATCAGGAGACACTGTGCAAAGATTACCGTTACATTGTTGAGAATTATGGGGTTAATAAGACAACATAATAATTTTAAGGAGAAGCCCTGTGGTCTATTAGAGCAGTGCTTTTCAAACTGTTCTGTATGTGCTGATAGCCTGGAGATCTTGTTCAAAGTCAGAATATGAGCAGGTCTGGGGTGGGTGGGAAGTTCTGCATTTCTAATCAACTCCCAGGTGATACTGATCCTGCTGGTCCATGGACCACACTAGGCAAAGACCTCGAGGAGGCTCCTGGGAGATGGTGATGGTGATGCTATTCTCATCCAGGCTCTTCAGTTAGGCAAAATGGTTTACCTTTCTGGGCCTTGGTTTTCCTTGTCTGTAACACCAGAGAGTTGAATGAAATGAAATCTAACAACTCTTCCCAGCTCTCTAACATTTTCCGATGCCATAGGAGGAAGTAAGAGGAATGAGGAGACAGGCTGCAATTCCGAGCACATATGCATTCTCTTAATCTCAACCCAACTTTCATATTTATTCAGTTTCTCTTAAAGGTAGTATGAATGACAAACACTAAATTTTTCATATTTCTGTTAGAATGTGGACCTTCAAAAACTAATTATTAATCCTATGACTTAGTAGAGAAGTTGCATGTCAAATATACTTCACCCCCCTCCACCCTCATCTTTGATATGTGTTCTGTTGTTTTTATTTCATTAGGAAATACTCCATAGCTTGGGTGGGATTGGAAACCTTGCTCAGGTAAGATTGCTTTTGTGGTGGCTGATCTTGCCTTTTCATTTAGCGCCATGCTCCGGGCAAGAATTAAATAGATGTGTGACAGAAGATGGCTTTTTTATGTTATGCTGTGCCTGCCTCAGGGAGTAGCAGGCAGGTTGGTAAGTGTGAGCATGAGGCATGATACTCACAGAGCAGGGAGGGACCCATGACGTTTTGCTCCGGCTAATCAGGCTCACTTTACCCAGCCTGATGAAATAAGAAAGTGCTAAAAAGGGTCACATGTCTTGAGTTAATGATTACAAGAAATAAATGTTGGCTGGCGGGCCCACGTTCTCAGCATTGTACATACAATTTGGTGGGAGAAAATATCGATCATAGAGATGTTGAGACCTTTTTGACACACAAAAAGGAATTATTGTGTTCACTAAAATATTAATCCATAAGTGACAAAGTAAGGAATGATCTTGACTTCATTTATTTTGCTGCTTTGTGAACTACTGGGGGAGGGTAAGCAGATGAATATATATATGCCGAGCAACTCAAAGGCTTGCATTTATTAATACAATAAAACAAAATCTATGGCTGTGTTATTGAATTGCAACAGCCCAGTGTGTACAGAAAGAATGATTTTTATAATAAGCCTGCAGCCCTTCAGACTTATTCTGAATTATTAATCAGAGATTAAGTTTATGGCAATTTAACATTAAATCTATTTTGTTTTATTATATTTTTGTTCTTAGGATATTGATTTATGTTTACTTTTTGTTTTTAATAATTTTTTTAATTGGCTGGAGGTTGGCCTCATTTAATAAAATAATATTTCATAATATTATATTGTAAAGGATCTTCTTATTCACTTTAACTTCCATTATAATGTCAGAAATTATGTATATTTCTCTGAGCCTGTCTTTTATTATTATTATTATATTCAATTATCCACAGTGGGAATTATCAGACTACCCCATACCCATTTTGTTCTGATTATTGCTAAATGTGTGTATGCTAGTTAGATACAATTTTGGATATTATAAAACACGTCAATAAAATATACGTAATATATCATAAAAATTCTAAAATTCAAATTCTAGGATCTGTATATTATGTATCTTATATCTTATATGTGTCTTGTATTTGGATACCAAATTATACCAGAAACCTATTTAGTTACAAGTCATTTCTGAGACTCTCAACACAGGCTTTAGGTCTCTCCCTAGACTTCATGGCATGAAAAAAAAGGCAAAGAATTCAATTCGGAAACCCAACCACCTTTTGCATTTGAGTGAAACAGGCCCAGGAGCACTGAGGATTATTTGGTGAATCTGTTGTGCCACCTACAGGTCATTTTAAGAACTGCACAATCTTGTCCCTCGCTTGCTTGTGTGCATCTTGGTGTTCTCCCTTCTGAATGGCTTGTTGGTTTGATCCTTCCTGCAGTACATGGAGATTGTGGCCAATGAGTACCTCGGCTATGGGGAAGAGCAGCACAGCGTGGACAAGCTGGTCAACATGACGTGTAAGCGTTGTCACTGGGGACACAGCCAACTTGTGGACTTGCTAGAATAAGCAGTATGGTGTTTCCAGCAGGAGAAAAGGATACTTTGAATATTTATGAATGTTCCCATACACAGTCAGCATATTGGGAGTCCTTGCCAATTGCTAGATGCGGTAGCAAAATGTACTCAGAAGGAAGATTTTTAGGTTACAACGCTTAGTGTAAAAAGCGCAATTTATTTAATGCAAGACAGGTTTCCATAAAAGCAAATTTTGGTTAAGATATTTTTGCCTCCTTTGATTTCTATTCAAATGCCAGCGACTATCCAATTTATGTTGGATATAAATCGGGTTACTAATACAAAATTGGGTTAATAATAATACCGACCTCATAGAATCTGGAGTAATCAGAGCATAAAACAACAAGAACAACAAATCTCATCCGATGTTGATAATGTGCACACATCAGTCTGTGAGTGTGAGACATTCCCTAGTCACTCAGTCATCTCTCTTGGAGGTTCTATCTAGTTCCACCTTCTGTCCCCTCCAGGTTTGACAACCCACAGACTTCCTGGTGTTGTGGGATGCTAGCCCATTTTCTTTGTGTGGACAGGCTGGCCCCCCACATATGTTTGCAGAGCAGCACACTGATTCTCAGGTACAGGCAGAGAAGAGTCTATTACAAGCCCTGGCAACAGGGAAGTCTCTCTGAGGACAACTATTTCCCTCAGCCAAGGAAACTTGCAAAATTCATTACACTCACTGGCCCTCCCTCCTCTTTATAAGTTAAAATCTTTATAGAGGGAGGATATTTGAAAAATAGGCCTCACTTTGAACTTGTGATGATGTTAAGGAACTTGTTCAGCTTCAAGTGGAAGAAGAGGTTTGCCTTTTGGGGTATTTCCATGATTCATTACTGTCAAATAAGTACTATTTTAGCTTGAGGGGCATTCTTAGGGTAAAAAAAATAACCCTGACCCTCCTGCTTCCATTGTTCCTTTTGTGTAGCCTGTGTTCCCTTTGCCCTTTCTCTGCTTGCCCATCAATAGTGCCAACCTGAGGTTCTATGAGTACTGCCCCCTTTAATCTCTGGATCCTTCTTTGAGTTATTTCTTTCCTTTATAGATATTTTTCAAAAACTTGCTGCTATCAAAGACCAAAGAGAATGGGTCACCACAAGTGGAGCCCACAAGGTGAGTGGCCCATGAAAGAGTTAATTCTTCTGCTACACATGGCAATGATTCACATGAGGAAGTTCAGAGCCACGTGTAATTATAACTCATAAACCTGCCAGCCTGGCCTGAAATTGTGAATCTCTGCCAACTTTTTTATATTCTTTACCAGCCTAACAAGTTAATAGAGACATAGTGGATAAAAGTTTTCCAGAACTCTTTCTTTTTTTTTTTTTTCCTTTTTCCTATATTGTTTAATACCAACTAAATTTCTTGCTTAATTTAAGTGTTATTTGAAAAGCCCTGGCTATATATAAACTGACGTTAGTTGTGTGTTTGTAAATACATAAATATAAATAAACAAATAAAATGTATGTATATACACACATAAAAAAATTCCAAATGACACAGGGGTTATATTAGTTTAAAGCATATGTAATTGCCATTTTCTGTAGGTCAAAAATAATTGAGTATAGGCAATTTCATATGGTTCAACCTCGTCGTTGATAATTATAAGTATATGGATCAAATATACATTTTAAGATGGATGAATGCAGGTTTAATCAAAACAGACTAAATTTACATTTCTAGCAAAACTGTTTAGATTATGGTCATATAGAACGAAGATTCAATAATCTATTGAGTTCTCATGTCCCAGGGAGCCACTTTCCAGTGTATATGGGAGCTAGATTGCCTGAAATGTGTTAATGCATGCTGCTCTTAGTTTAAGGGATGATTCTAAGTGACATATAAGTCAACATTTTTAATTTCAATAGCCATCTAAGTCACTGATATTGTTGCTTAGGATTTAAAGACAATTTTGAGTTAGCATTAAGGGGACATGAGAAAAGTGTGAAAATGATGTTTGGGAAGCATGTGTTTGAAGACACAGAAAGAAAAGAAAAAGTGAGAGAAGGAAAGGAGGAAAGAATCAGAGAAATAAGGATAATGATAGCTTTATTTAAAAAAATGGATATCACACAGGAGAAATATCTACCTAATAGAAACTGAAAAATCATTTGAGCAGTCATTGCAGAGGTTGCAGGTCTGGCCCGGAATATTTGGGATGTGTACTTTTTAGCAGGTTCTGAGTTTTGAAAATATAGACAGAAGATAAGAGAATTTGCATTAATGAAGATTCAGGGAAGGCACCTGACAAGACACGGAAGACCTCCAGCCAAGTCGTTACTTAGAATGATGATCAAGGGCATTGATGGTACCCTATTAACATCAATGAGAAATCTGAGAGGCAAATAGAATACTCTGTAGTATTAACATATATTTTTTAGTTTGGAAAAAAATGAAAGTTTCAACATTCTGTTGAAAAATTGTTCTGCCTCAGTCTGCCTCAGAGTGAGTTCTCAATGGCTGGTTGCTACTAATTTTATAATTTACGTCATTAGTCTCCCTACTTCTCCCTGGGGAGGGATCAGAAGTGCCAGAGCAGAATGCGTGAGCATATGGAAAGAGAGGAAACGGTGAGAACCATGCTGGTTGTGTAACTTGGTCTCTTTTACTTCCTGTCTTGGGCAAAGAAAGGGTACAAGGAGTTACTTACTCTCAAGAGTTCCAAAGTAAGGGGGCGGTGGACACCTGCTTTCTATAAAGAACTGGATATTTTGAATGTTTAATAAAATCTCTTTTCAAGTTAAGCCTCTATATGGCCTACAAAAAATAAAAAAATAAAATAAAAGTAATTACATAAAGCTTGAGAGGGCATAACATTTTTAATTCTGTAAGTAAAGCCATAATATAATAATTTGACTGTATTGACAAAAAAATGATGTTTATAAAGACATACTTAATTCCATGGAAAAATTTTAGTGGACAACATTAAGAAAAATACAAGAGCAGCTCTAAAATTGTATGCACAGTTTGTGCTTAATTGTATAGGCGCATACCTTATAAAATACTTAAGAAAAAAAATAGATTAAGCCTCTGATCTTGAGAAGGAAATATTATACCATTCAAGCAGACTGTAATACTTATATAATTTATAAAATAAATTTTATTTTACTTATGTAACATTAAGTAAACTTTATTTTACTTCATTTTCCAGACATTAGTAAATTTACTTGGTGCACGAGATACAAATGTTCTGTTAGGTTCCCTTCTGGCTCTGACTAGTTTAGCAGAAAGGTAAGTAGTGTATTTTAATATACTTTCCAGTTCTGCTACTATTGCAATTTAGGTGGGAAGGATGCAAAATAGATCAGTTACTTTGTCACCTACTCAGTAAAAATATTTTTGTTAAAAATAAGTGTGAAATAACATTTTAAAATTTAAAAATTTAAGTTTGAAAGGCAAATTGCAAAATTTTAATTTTTTTTTTTCCTGACCGGAAATATTTACCTAGTCTTCATCTCACCCTCAGTTACTTCTACTTTCAAAATTACTGTAATATTTCTTTGGCAGTTGCATCTCTCTGACCTTTGTAATTCATTCTCACCTGTGTATTTGTTAATATCAAAACATTTTCAAACACTGTGGCCTTTAAGAGCTTTAAATATTTCTTTATGCTAATACATGGATCATTGCTTTTTTTTTTTTTTTCTTTTTTTGTAAACTGCATATGATTCCTTTTGTATTTTTGGTCTCTTCTTCTGAGATAATATGAGAGTCAGGATATTAAATTAATGGATGTAATATATACATGGATGTTTTTAGTAGTTACTAATATTTTTCAATTTATAGTCCAGAATGTAGGGAGAAGATAAGTGAACTCAACATTGTAGAAAATCTGTTGATGATTTTACATGAATATGACTTGCTTTCCAAAAGGTAGGATTGCTAACAGGGGAAAAAGACAATGTCTTTTATTTGATACAAATGCTTATTATTATTTCTATCTGTCATGTTATTTACATTGTAACTGAAAATCATTAATCAGGTTGGCATTATTTCTGTTTAAGTTTATATAGAGAAACTAGAACAAAAAGGTGTATCAACTTATCTTTAGTCCTGCATTACTTCTAGATCTGGGCATAGAATCTAATTATATAAATCTTATGATAACATCATTAGTATTTTTGTTTATTCCATTTATTTACATTCTGCCTGTTTAGAAAAAGAAACTCTGACTCTATTTTTAGCAATTTCGGATTGTGTGTGCAATAAATGATTAGATTGCTAAAATCAATTGTGCTTAAGGCAAGTAAAACAAAGATAGCTACTGATGTGTTCTGTGATCTTGATGTGTTTTGTGATCACCTGATATAATAGCTCAAAATAGAATCTAGACTACAATGGATTCATTTTCACTTGAACTGAATGTTGTTCTAAAGTATTACTATATCCAGATAGTTATTAGGTTGTGTTTAAATAGAGTTGCAATCATTTGATATTTACTTAAATAAGTCATGATTTTCTAAAGAAGTAAAATAGATAACACAAATCAAGCAATGAGGCCCTGACATTAAACTTATAATTTTTTTTTTATTTCAGCATATTATGGGGGTACAAATGTTAAGGTTACATACATTGCCCTTGCCTCCCCTCCCCCCTGTAAACTTGTAAATTTTTTTGGATTCGTCTTCAGAGCTGATTTACCCTTCTATAAGAGTTCTTGTAAAAGAGCATTATATAGATAAGTGTTATGTAGATAAGAGTCTATATACTTATAGACTTGGTTATTGAACTCATTCACTCAACAAACAAGGTCCCAGACTCTGCACCAGGAGTTGGAAAACCAAAGATGACTAAGTTATGAGTGTGTAGTTAGGGGAGCAGACAGACAGACAAATCACTGGTTTCATTACAGTGCTGTAAGTGGTGCAGTAGAAAAATGTATAAGGCACCCTGGGAGCATAGATCAGGCACCTCTCAATTAGAGTGAAGGGTTATGCCAGGTTTCCTGGAGGAAAAAGGAGATATCTAGGCAGAGGGAGAGAGCAAGTAAAACCAGAAGGTGCTCCAACACAGAGGCATGGAATTGGGTGTGTTAGAGGAATGTGCATTTTTGGGCACAATTGGAGCAAATGAAGGAAAGTACCTGAAAATTAGAGCAGACAGTTAATGATAAGTTAAAAATGTAGCTAACTTTGATCAGTGCTTTCTATATGCCAAGCTCTGCTCTAAGCATTTTTTTGGTTTAACTCATTTGATCTATACAATAACCCTATTATTTTCTGTATTTTATAGATGAGACAATAAGACACCTTTATCCAGGTCATGATGGTCTCTGTGTGTACTAAATAAAGATGTGGATTTTCTCATGAACATTACGGGGACTCACATAAAGATTTTAAGCATGATCAGATATATTTTTTTGAAAGATTGCTCTGATACCAGTGTGTGTGTGTGTGTGTGTGTGTGTGTGTGTGTGTGTGTGTGTGTGGATGGGGGTGGAATATATCCACGCATTGAGATCTACTTACAACAGGGAGGGAATGTTGGTGTAAAAAGCTTGTGAAGGTAACAAATACTGTTTACCAAAGAACTTATGCTCCTAATGTCAGAGCAGAAAATTTGGCAGGGAGAGGAACCATGGGAAATTGGTTCAGGGGAAAGGAGTTATAAAGCAATATGGAAATGAAGATATTGGAAAGGAAGATGACAGTAGGCTTTATATCTTGAGCACAATCAAGGACCACAAGGATGAGTGGAGCAGTGGGCTTAGCTAGTTTCCAGACACTCAAGAGAATCAATCCCAGCAGTTGCCCAGGAAATAGGGGACACTAAAGGTTCTTGATTGGCACTGGCAGGGTATAGAAGGAGAAAGAAGTATCTTGATGACTCTCAGTCTACTGGCTTGGAAAATTGAAAAGATTGTGGTGCCATAAGTCAAGATCAGGGATATGAGAGAAAAAATAGATTTGCGGATGAAGATAATGACTTTGAATTTAGAGGTAGTGTGGTGAGTGCTTGTGGTACATACACATGACTTAATTTCTGGAAATTTAGATCAATGGTTGGGCTGAGATAATGATGCCAGGATAGAATGGATGTTTGAAACCATAAGAAGGGATGGTAGTATCCAGGGAGAGTGTTTAGAGTGTGAGACTGTAGGACTAAGGTTGATTCTATGAAACACTTATCATGATGTTTCATGGTTCAGCTGAACCTTATGTCTTTACCATCTTTTTTTATGCACTTTCTACTGGGTATATAGTAACCGAGAGCTTTGCACTTAATTCCTCTGCATTGTAGTGTTTTGACATTTTCTCTGAATGTCTCATTTTTTTGCAACCACATAGTAAGATTCTAAAGACTTGAATAAGGCTTTTCATATTTCTTTTGTCTTTAGCACTATGCAGATCTCATTGTTTGTAATTGATACCTACTTGCTGGTCAGTAGGTTTTTAACCAGACCAATGAGGATGTAACTTTGAACAGTGGTCAGCAAACTATGACCTATAGTCTGAATTTGGCTTGCTGCTTGTTCTTGTAAATAAAGATTTATTGTAACACTGGCATGCTCTTCTGTTTTTTCTTTTTGTTTGTTTGTTTTTTGATACTGGGTATCACTCTGTCACCCTGGGTGGAATGCAGTGGCATCGTCATAGCTCACTGCAACTTGAAATTCCTGGGCTCAAGCGATCCTCCTGTCTTAGCCTCCCGAGCAGCTGGGACTACAGACCTGCTCCACCACACCACACTAATTGTTTCTATTTTTAGTAGACATAGGGTCTTGCTCTTGCCTGGTCTAGGCTGATCTTGAACTCCCGACCTCAAGAGATCCTCTGGCCTTGGCCTCCCAGAGTGTTAGGATTATAGGCGTGAACCACCATGCCTGGCCGCTCATTCATTTTTATGTTTTACCTATAGCTACTTTCATGCTATCTCAGCATAGCTGAGTAGTTGTGACAGAGATTATGTGGTTAGCAAAGCTGAAAACATTTGGTTCTGGTCTGGCCCTTTACAGAAAACCCATGATGACCCAGGACTTAGAAAATGTTAGAGTTATATTCCATGCAGTGATGATAGCTTTAGTGTACATATAAAGTCACTAACTGGCAACGCCGTGATTCTCATCCCCACCCTCCCCATCCCTTTCAGACTGACCGCGGAGTTGCTGCGCCTACTTTGTGCCGAACCCCAGGTGAAAGAGCAGGTGAAGCTCTACGAGGGGATACCTGTTCTCCTCAGTCTGCTCCACTCTGACTACTTGAAGCTGCTCTGGAGCGTTGTCTGGATTCTGGTCCAGGTTTGTGAGGACCCCGAGACCAGTGTGGAAATTCGCATTTGGGGAGGCATCAAGCAGCTTCTTCACATTTTACGAGGGTGAGTCCAAGTGGGCTTTGGCCTACTTTGCCCTCTGCATCGAAGGCTGGGCCTCTGACAAGACGGCATATTGGGTGTGTGCTCACCTCCCTCCCTCCTGCTGTGTGTTCTTTGGCCCTTCGTGTTTTCCAGAGCCATCTATACTTGTCACAAGCATGCTCTATGTCAATGTCAGGGTCATTCATCTTTTAAATTCCTTGGGAACCCTGACATATTTATCTTTGCATCACTGGCCTCCAGAACAGTGCCAGGAATGTGGAAGGCTGTAAGTCTGCAAATGTAATGTAGGCTGAATGGAAATCCAATAACTTAAAGAAACTTGTCTTGCCACCTTTTCCTTGAATCAGTATATGTATTTTGTCATGCCAACAAGTACAATAATTACTAATACTTTACTAAAAAGCTTGTGTGTGTATACATATTATCTATCTGTAAAAGGAAAGTCTAATTTTAAGGAACAGATGTATAATCATTATTTAAAATAAGGGATGATATTATTAATTGAGTGGTTGCCATGTTACTGACCCTGGTCCAGTTGCTCTACTTTTCATTCTAATCTTCATTGCAGCCCTCTAAGGTGAATATTATTATTTCTTTTTTAAAGGTAGAATTCCAGTGACATTCTAAGCCATAGGCATGGGAAAGGAATAGTTTATTTTTTAACATAGTTTCCAATTGAAGTTCTCTAGAAGTATGTCACAATCTAACTTCTGTATTTTCTTAATCATATATATGAAGTAGCGAACAATAATATCTTTTGGTACCTTGCATGGGAAGATTCTATTACCTAATTTTGTTATAAAGCATAATTCAGCCCTATGGGTACTAAATCAAAGTTAAAAATGAATAGGTATGCTTGAAAGGGATCATGTTTATGATCTGTAGTATATAAATAAAGATCATTATAATAAAGGCAAAGTGACTTATCAATTTTAATATATTATCAAATCAATATTATTAAGACTTTGCACTTGTTATGCTTCTAGGGATATTACGGAACTATGTGTTACCAACTCATTTTCTCTGAGGGAACATTCTGAAACATAAGAACAGACTGTAGAGTTACAAACAGTAGCTTTAATTTTTTCTGCCATTATCTAAACAAAGGCAAAAAAATTTATAGACTGTTGACACAATCTACATGTTTTTATCACCATGATAAGAAAGTCTCGATTAAAGTACAAATTATAAACCTTTCATTAGTGCTGTGATATAATAAGCTAACCCCTTGGTCAAAATAATTACAATTGCCAAAGGTTTTTTTTGGGCTTGTAGGATGATGAAAATGGCGGTTATTATTCATTATTGGTCAGTCGTACCTGTTACAATAGCTGTGGGCTGCCCTCTTAGAGAACAGCTATATAGTTAAGCAATGCTTCCAAGATAAAACCTGCCTTTTTCTCACATACAGTTGAATCTAATACAAAGCACTAGTTTCCCTCTTTTGCTCAAGTCATAACTGTGCTTGATAGAAAAGAGTTCTTTCACGTCTAAAGAATCATTTTCTAAGTTTGTTTTTGTGGTACAACGTTAGAAAAATCTTCCCTGGGAAAATGATATGTCAACTCTTATTCTATGTTAAATATGTCTTGTCCTCTGGGAGAGTTTATTGCCCCAGCTGGATAAACAGTACCCTTTCAGAGCCTGTGCCTGTCCCTGGGCTGCCTGAAGCTGGCACTAGGAGTGGATGTTCCCAGGTTGTCTGGTGGTTTGAGTATGAACAGGTGCTATTGTCAGGGCAGTTTCCAGGAAACCCGTTCGTGCACATTCACCTGCAATCCCAAACTCAAAAGACAGTTCTCCCAGGGCTCTATACTCTTGATCAGGTGGAGAGATCTGTAAAATTTGAGTTCGAAGATAATTATGTTGACAGGTAAGATCACCAGTTATGGCTGACCCTAGAGCCAGCTCCATTACCTTTCCCATGTGTCTTGAAGGAAGGACACCAGTGGACCCAGATTATATGAGAGGGAAGTCAGGGAGACTCAATCCACATGATATTTGGGCACACAGAAATCCAGATAGAGCTGCTACCAGAAAAAAATAAATAAATGAAAAAAATATGGTAATCATAGAAAACAAAAGGAAACAAAGCAGACAAAGGACAGATGAAAGATCTATTGTGGAAGACAGTGCACTGAGTAAACAGAAAAACAAATGCTTTATTTTATCAAAGACATTAAGAAGAACATGAATTTTGAAAGGAGATTAAAGATGAAATGATAGGGAAAACAACAACAACAAAAAAACAACAACAAAAGGAAGGAGATTGCAGAGCTAGGAAAGAAAATATGGACTGGTAACACCCAGAGAACTGATAAACTCTCTAGAATACCAGAAAAAAACAGGAAGTAGTAAAATGAAGGACAGGCTTGAAAGAATTAAATATAATTCAGAGGGAAAAGGTGAAGGAATGAAAGCAATTGGAAACTCAAAGATAAGGCCAACAGAAGATGGGGTTTCAGCATGTGGATAATTGAGATTCCTGAGGTAGAGAGTAAAATAAAAAAGAGACAAAAAAGTTCAAAGAGAACTTTCCTAAAATAAAGGAAAATAGGAATTTCATGGAAAAAGAAAACTCACAGTAATTAAGACTGAGATGTATTCAAGCGAGTTGATTGCAGTGGAGTAGGGAGTTCAAAAACGACGGTGGCCAAGTGGAGCAGCGAGGTAAGGACAAGGTTTTCAATAAATAGTCTGCAGTCAGTTCAGTGACCATAAGAAGAAAAATGACTTCTACCTCACATCACACACAATCAATTCTAGGTGGATTGGAAAGTGAAATAATACAGACAACTTCATGACATGGGAAAGGCAATGATTTCTTAAACAGGGTACAGAAAGGACTGACCATGAAGGAAAATTGATAAATGGTCTGTGCATTAACTTTTCCTTTCCAGAGACAGAAATTTTGTTTCTGATCGTTCCTCCATTGGAAGCTTGTCGAGTGCAAATGCTGCAGGCCGAATCCAGCAGCTTCATTTATCAGAAGATTTAAGCCCTCAGGAAATACAAGAAAATACTTTCTCTCTTCAAGCAGGTATTTATGTTATATTACTATTTTTAATTATTTGATACTGTATAATTTTTGATGTTGCATTATTATTCCCTCTTATAAAGTTAACATGGTAGTGTCAATTGGGCACAATTTGTAAGTTTATAAAAATGTAAAGTTAAACCCACATGGATGCCACACATTTCTTGGTACTAGTGTTGGATTTGCAGATTAGTGACACAACAAACTTTTCTCTCTCTTCCATGTTCTGAACTCACCGAGAAGTAAGCACAGAAGTCAGAGATAAAGAGACAAAATAAATATTAGCTTTTTTTTTTTTTTTTTTTTTGAGACATCCATTTTTCTTTTCTTGCTCTGTCACCCGGGCTAGCGCGCAGTGGTGTCATCATAGCTCACAGCAACCTCGAACTCCTGAGCTCAAGTCATCCACCTGCTTCAGCCTCCCAATCAGCTGGGGATATAGGCTCATAGCACCATACTTGGCTGATTTTTTATTTTATTTTATTTTTTGTATAGACAGGGTCCCACTACTGTCTTGAACTCCTGGGCTTAAGCAGTCCTCCTATCTCAGCTTCCCAAAGTGCTAGGACTACTGGCCTGAGCCACCGTGCCCGGCCTAAATATTAGCTTTATTATTGGTGAAGTTGGATTAGAGAGTGCAGCTTGATCTGTGGCCAGAATCATGCTTTCTAGAACTTTCTCAACCTCAGGGTGCCCTACTTCAGGGGAGGTCTGCAGTACCCACACCCATCTCACCAGGTGTGAGGGAGTGCTTTCCTCCTCCTTTGTGAGCTCCAAAGAGAAGGCAGCAGCAGCTATTACCCTGTGTGGGATTTTCACAGGACAGCAGGAGTCGTGATGCATGAATACACTTTTTGGCCAGGCCACCTCTAGCAGTCATTCATGCACAGGGGCAGCAGGCCTTTGGGACAAGTGGAGCTACAGTGCAGTCTGAGTGCTGCCAGGCCAAGCTGGGTGTCCCGGAGCAGACCCCAGGAAGGGAGCGGAAAGATAGGGTGTGGGCCAGCAGGGGGGCACGGAAATCGTAAGGTGAAGAGCAGACTGGCAGGGAGAGAGGATGAGGGAGTGGGGGTAGGAGAAGGCAGGCTTTCTCTGCTCCTTGCTGTTTCCTCCTGGAGACTGGGGAAGACATTTCTTCAAAGACTATGAAGACAGGGAAATAGGATCCCCTCCTCGAATTGCCATTTCTGCTTACTCTGAAAGGCCTCTCTCTTAATACAAGGGCTCATGTTGGAGATTTACTGTTTGAAGCCTCCCTAGGAAGTATAATCCAGTTGAATCTCAGAGCTCTGAGTATTTCTAGGACCTTCTCAAAGAGAGGGTGAGATCAATGGTGACAGGAGGCAGAAGAGTGGTTACCTACCTGTGCGATTACAAGGGAGTTAATCTCTATAATTAGGAAGAGGCACAAGGGAGTATTGGGAGCCTGGAAATAGTCTATATATTCACCCAGGGTGGGGGTGGATAAAGGGTATATAGATATGTAATATCTCATCGAGCTGTACACTTAAGATGTTTACGTAGCTTATTTAATATCTAAATAAAAATGGAAAAACAAATGAAAAATTAAAAACATAAAGGGTTAAGAGTAGGGTCTGATTTTTGGCTCCACCGGCATTGATGGTCATATGGCCTTGGGCAAGTTCTTTAACCTGACCAAGCTTTGGTTTTGCTCCTGTAAAATGGTAATGATAATCATGGTATCAGAGACAGAAGGTTATTGTGAGAATTACATGAGGATATGCGTAAAAGTCTTTAGCGCAGAGCTGGACCAACAAGCAAGGCAAGGCTCAATAAAAGGGTATCATCCTTTAGGGGTGCTCTGTGCTCCACAGTCTGGTGTACCTCTGGGGGACCAAGCATCTCAGTGCAGGATGCCACCCAAGGCTGCCACGATGCCCAAAAGGAGGCAGGAGTGGTATTGCTCAGGACTTGGGATTTAATGTCTGGCAGACGGGGTCTGGACTCCTGGCCCCTTCCACCTACTGGTTGTGTGGCCTAGTCTATTAACCTCTCCGAACCTCTTTTCTCATCAGTAAAACTGGTAATCATAGTACATACTCTGATTAGAAGGATTAATTTGGATTTAAAGCATTCATTCATTTATCAACCATAGTAATGTATTTATTGAGCACATGCTAAGTGCCAGGCATATGTCAGGCACAGGTGATTATAATGAACCAAACACATGTAGTCCCCGCCTCTTGGTACACAGTAGCTGCTCAATAAACAGCCGCTGTGGGATGAATTCCGTGGAAGGGAGGGTTAGACGCCATTAAAAGTCAGCTTCCCTTCTTTCAGAGCTGGGGCAGAAGGAAAATTAGTGTTTCTTGAGTAGTGACTTTGCTAATAAAATCCCCTGTGGAGTAAGAGTATTTGTGTAGAAGTGTATTTGTAGCGATGAAGTACATTATGTGTTTGATTGTTTCTATTCCAGCCTGCTGTGCTGCCCTCACTGAACTGGTGCTCAACGACACCAACGCCCACCAGGTGGTACAGGTGAGAGCACCCTTCTCCGGCCATTTGATGATTGACTTTATGACGAAGAACACAGGTTTAAGGGTCTTATCACATGATGTCTACATATTTAACTGATAAAATTCCACTTTCTGTTCCTGTCCTTCTTTCTTTAGTCCGACTTAGCTTAAAAAGGACCGACATGTGGTTAATTGGTGTTGATGTTTCTTCCCTATATTATGTGCAGACCTTTTCATTTTCTTTATCTTTTTAAAAAAGTTATTCTGAATTGCTTTAATTGTGGGCATATAGAGCATATAGGAGTTAGGGGCAGCAGGCATTATAACTAATAATACATCAAGGTTATTTCACTTAGAGGAGATCGAGACAAGCCAAACAAGATATTTATTGCCAAGAGACTGATTTCACAAAGTATAACCCACCAATTAATCTGCTGTGTATACAGCTCTGTATTTACATGTGTATATGTACACACATAAATATAAATAAATATGCAAACACACACATATGTGTACAACCCTTGTGTGGATTTCTATTGCAAAAGTTACCTTCTTGCTGACTTTTATAGAGGGAACTTTTTGAGGGGGTTAATACGCTGTATCTAACTTTAACTTCAAAATACATAAATACATAAGAATTAGTAAAGTATCAGATCATCAATGATTAATGTCCCTAAGGAAACTCAGCAAATCAGGGGGCAGAGGGGGAAGCAGGGTATTTGGAGTTGGCCCGATTGGGATTCAATTCCTGGCATTGTTACCTGCTGGCTTGGATTATGAAAACATGACTTAAACTCTTGATTTTCTCATGTATAAAACTGGGAAATTATAAACTTATTCACAGCATAGCTAGAAAGATTAGGTGCAGTAAGACAAGTAAAGCTCTTCACAGTTATAATATGAATGCCTTCTGCACAGTAAAGATCAGTAAGTTGTATATTTAATGGATAATAGAAAAGCAATAATAAAAATTAATAATTTGTATTCATTCCTCCATGTATAAATTTGCATTAGAAAAAAATCTAGAAAGATGTTAACTGTGTTTTCATAACTTTCATTTTCTTTTTTAATCTGTTATTCTTGTTTCTTTTATTTTTTTCTTTAAAAATGTTTTTTATAATGATTGATCTATATGTATTCCTAATTACCAAAACTGTGAAGGAGAAATTATATTTTATAGTCCGGTATTGTTTAAAATATAAGGAATAAAGATATTTGGATCCCTTTACTCTGCCCCCTTTTAATCCTTTTAATGTAGATTCTTTGTTTTAAAAGTATTTTAATCACTTTAAATTTATATACTTTATTATATCTTGACTCTTTACAGATGGTGGAAATTATAAGATTGTGGTTGTAGTCTTTGGTGTTTAAAAGTATTACATTGACATTTTAAGTATTGTCTTATAATATTTACTTTAAGCTCTAAATTTATACTCACATTTCTTCTTTAATATTAATTTTTGAGTTGTTTAGTTGCTTCTTTATTCTTATGCATCACTATGGCATTGTCACTGGTAACACAGCCCCTTTATTCTTCCAGGAAAATGGTGTATATACCATAGCAAAATTAATTTTACCAAATAAACAAAAGAACGCTGCAAAAACTAATCTATTACAGGTAATAGACATGTCTGTTATTCTTTGATATCAAGTTATTGAAATCTAGGAAAATTTGATAAAAATGACCCAGGCTTTTTACAATTTTGGGATTAGTGCTGGTCTGAATGCTGGCTGCGAGGGAAAAATGTCCGATGAGGGAGACTGGCATGGAATCGAATGACATTAAAACAATATAAAAGACAGTAGTGGTTTGTCTATGTGAAAGAATTAGGGGATTTTATTTACATGTTTCTTTGCTTAGCAATGAATTCTATTTTTTTTTAAATATGCATTGCTTATGTATCAGAATACAACAACAGAGGAAAATTACTTGCCATCTTTAAACATGGACCAAAGTCATTAACATTTCACCTTTAAAAAGGAAAACTAGTAAAACAGATTTTGATGGATAAGAAGGGACTTGCCAAGTGGATAAGGAGATATTGGGTGGGCACCACTGCAGGGCGGAAGGGCATTCCGCATGGAGTGAACCTCATATGCAAAGTGTGGGGACCCTGGAGCTTAAAGTGTGTTTGGGGAAGTGTGGGCTGCTCCGTGGGGCTGGGCTGTGTGGTTGGGAGAGGGAGTGTCCCAGAAGATGATGAGACCTCAGGGTTAAGAAGGGGGCACATTTATGCAGGGTTCTATGGACTTTTTTGCAGCGTGAAACACTGGAGGGACAAAAATCAGATTTAAAGCAAGCCTTGCAGTAGTTGCAGCTCATCTTTTTTCTCTTTTTAAAAAGTCACTTAGAAAAGGAAGTAAGAAACAACCTTTGTCTCCAATCTGATTTCAGAGCTCTCGTCCAGAATGATGGCCAAACCTAGCAGAGACTTTTTGGAGGCGCTGGCAGGCAGGGGATTTTGGAAAGCTACCAATGAGAACCATACAGTCATGGGACTTGATTTCTTTAGCACGCCACAGATGTGTGACACTGTGCTGGAAAACATATCAAGTCAAATCCATCCTGCAGATGCATTTCGTTAAGCCAGTAGAAGGTTTTTAAAATTTCCAATTGGAACAGCTTTTGAGGAGCATGCGTGTTCTCCCTTTCTCATAATCTCCGCTGCTCTCACAGAGCTCCTTCGTGTCCTTTCGTCATCTGCCAGGCCTCCCTGGGCAATTTTGTTTGTGGACCCTCTGTATTCAGATAACAAATTTTATGAAATGATACCAGATTAGACTGAGCAGACCCTGATTGCTCCAGCGGTGGCATATTGTACAGGTACAACTGCAGGCTGGGGCGCTCTTTTTTTTCTCAGCACGCTGCAGAATGTCAGATGTTTATTTTTCTTAGTTAAAGCCTCACAGGCCTCTTTCTGAGTGTTCTAGGGAGTTACTGTCGATTGTTCTATTTGGGGAACGCTTAAGACTCTTTACTCAAGAGACCAATTTGTCAAGTTTGAGTCCAGTGTGCCTGTGGCTATTTTTATATGTCATCATTTCTAGTGTTTATTTGCTCACAGAAACCATATAAATATTGAGGCATACATAGCAGGCTAGAAACAAAATAAACCTTGAGTTTCTGGAAATCTTTGGACGTTTGGTTTTCTCACTATAGGAATTTTATTTCTTGTCTCTGTACTCATTTTGTAACTTTCTAGAAAGAAATTAGTAACAAGTACTGAGTGAGACAAGGCCAAGATCCCTAACAAGTGTTTCTACAACATAAACACTTTTAAAATACAAGAACTACCCCAAGGTGTTGGTGTTTTTTGTTTTTAGTCATAAGCTTTGGCTCCAACTTGGGCCAGCCACTCCCAATAAAGCCACTTTAATATTTACTTCATGACAATTCTGTCTTGAAAATGGTTTAATTTGTTGAGCTACCATTTAAGAATCATAGATTCTTTTATTTTCCAGTGTTATGCGTTCAGAGCTTTGAGATTTCTCTTTAGTATGGAAAGAAACAGACCACTCTTTAAAAGGTATGAGCTTAGAAAAATGTAAGTGATCATTAAATTCAAGAGAGCATTAGATTGAACTGTTTTCACATACTTGATTTAGATGCAGCAGTAAAAGAATGAATCACTGTGCAAATTGTGTGTCTTCAGAGTTCTTAGATTTCACAGATATAACTGAGCTACTGTCGCAATATTTTCATACTGAAAATTAAGACAATGGTGACAAAAGAGCATAAATCACTGTATCAACACAACTCCTCTTAATTACATGTGACAACTGTGGTTTTGTTTTGGTTTGTGTTTTTTTTTTGCAATTAAAGATAGTGACATTTTAAGTGGATGACATCATGTGACATGTGCTTATTTTTGTCCCTTAAGAAATTTGAAAGTTGATCTGGTAATTTTCCCTTAATCGATAGGAAAACAAACTATTTGTCTGGATATCCTTGATAGAATAAGAGGTCATTTAAAGGGGACAAGCCTGGATGCCCAGGGATCCAGAGCCTGTGCTGTCGATTGAGCCTGACTGAACAATCACCATCTTACATAAGTGGGGGTCTGCACACCATTTAGTTGGATGGGTTAGCCAAAATCATAGGCACAAGTGCTCATTAAAATTTTTTTGATAAGGAAGAATAGAAATAAATTCCTGAGTTAATATAGTGTTTTTTTGTTGTTGTTCAGAAAGCTTGGATTTTTGGTCTTTTGGCTAAAATCAAACAGAAACCATGGACCATTTTCTGTTGTTACTTTATTTCCATGGAACACTTAAATTTAGGGGAAAAGAAAGTAAAATTAGTTATGATGCATTATAACCTTTCATTTCAAGAATCTAAACCATTCATTTTAGTGAGCTTAAATATTTTAATAAGCCATTGAAACCAGTACCTTGGAGATGATGCCTAAATCTCTCCATTTGGTTTATTTTTCATTTACCTGTATTTTTTTCCCCCATAAAACATTTAAAAATTCAGTTAGACCTCTGTGGAAAGCAATATGGAGATACCTTAAAGCAATACAAGTAGATCTACCATTTGATCCAGCAATCCCATTACTGGGAATCTACCCAAAAGAACAAAAGACATTCTATAAAAAAGACATCTGCACTTGAATGTTTATAGCAGCACAATTCACAATTTCAAAGATGTGGAAACAACTCAAGTGCCCATGAATACATGAGTGGATTAATAAAATGTGGTATATGTATACCATGGAGTACTATTCAGCTATAAGAAACAATGGTGATATAGCACCTCTTGTGTTTTCCTGGGTAGAGCTGGAACCCATTCTACTAAGTGAAGTATTCCAAGAATGGAAAAATAAACACCACATGTACTCACCAGCAAATTGGTTTCACTGATCAACACCTAAGTGGACATATAGGTGGACACCATCTGGGGGATGGTCATGCTTGAAGCTCTGACTCGAGGGGGTAGGGGGATCCAGGGCAATATACACAACCTTAGCATTTGTATCCCCATAATATGCTGAAATAAAAAGAAGCATTAAAAAATTCAGTTAGTATTTATCTTTCAGGGTTAATATGAAGACTGAATCATATGACATTTATGAAAGTGCTCTGTTCTCGATAAACATCCAGTAAACATTCCCTCCTAATGTTTTTAATATCTACTTTACTTCCCAAAATATCTTACAGATAAAGTCTTTGTAACATCTGTATTGTATCTATTTTTTTTATTGTGGTAAAAAAAATATATAACATGAAATCTAGTATACCTTTTAAAAATTTTAAGTGTACAACACAGTATTATTAACGATAAGCACCGTGCTATACTGTAAATCTCTAGAAGTTTCCCTTCCATTTGTTTTGTCTTACCCCTCAAGACCTGTAGCTACTGTGTATTTTTTCAGGATAAATTGGGGAGTGCTACCCCTCAGTTTGTTGATAAGCTAAGCAAGCTACATTTGTTTCATGTAATTAATCTGTGAGTGAGCTACATCCAAAAGGGGAATAACAGCCAACAACTTCCAAGTTCTACATTAAGTGTGTGTATTTTTTCCTATAGACTTTTCCCCACGGACTTGTTTGAGATCTTCATTGACATAGGACATTATGTCCGTGATATCAGTGCTTATGAAGAATTGGTATCAAAGTTGAATTTATTAGTGGTAAGTCCTGCGTTTTAAATACTTTATCAGGCTGCTATGTGGTCAGGATAGAATTTATCACAGCAACCCATTTCCTTTATATTTTTTGGTTAGGAGGATGAACTGAAGCAAATTGCTGAAAATATTGAAAGCATTAATCAGAACAAAGCTCCTTCGAAATATATAGGCAACTATGCAATTTTGGATCATCTTGGAAGTGGAGCTTTTGGCTGTGTTTACAAGGTGACTTTGCCCTTGGGGAGCAACGTTTCTGATATTCCCAAACAAACCAGGCGTCACACTTGCACATCCATGCTCAATTGAATTAGAACGTTTGTCTTTGAAAAATTGTGAACAAATAGACATAAAAATTAGAATGATTGTTTTTGTTCAACAGATAGAAATAGCTGTACTAATGTCTTATCTCTCAGCTCTAGAAATTGGCCACTGATTTTTTAAGATAAAAGGTGTCATTAATCTCTCACAAAAAATAGTCAAAATAGCTTGTCCCAATACATACAATATTCTAAATTCACAACAGTGTTTCTATATTTACCAAGTGAAATCCTACTGAATATTGCAGACTGACCCAGGAGATACCAATATTTTGAGCTCAGCTTAATGGAAATGTAGCTAGAATTTTAAATGCTCTGTGACTTATTTAGATGACAGTTAACATGTGACCTTGTTAATCTATCTCTTCCTTTTTCTACTTTCACCCCATTCCTTTGTGTGTGTGTGTGTGTGTGTGTGTGTGTGGTTTTCCTTATTTTAGGTTAGGAAGCGTAGTGGTCAAAATCTTTTAGCAATGAAAGAGGTCAATTTGCATAACCCAGCATTTGGAAAGGACAAAAAAGATCGAGACAGCAGTGTGAAGAATATTGTTTCTGAATTAACAATAATTAAAGAACAGGTAAATAATTTTCTTGTTTCTGGATATGTTTTTCTTAAATAAATGTCATCAAAAGACAATAAAGTTCTTGTACTATCCTTGTCCATGCTATTTATGAACTAATTTGTGTGAAATTACTGACATTGAGGCAGTGATATTTTCACTGGCTTTTCTAAGGCTTGCCGTTGAAACATGAAAACACCTTTTGGAGTTTATACCAGGGTCATGGATGCAAAGCAGTTGGATTTATGGCACACAGTGCATCATATCTGAGAAATCCTTTTCATTGTGAGCATATCTGTTCCCTCCTCATTATATTTTAGCATATTTGGTTACTTAGTTACATACATAGAAATATGACTAAGAGTTTCCTGACTTTTGTCAAGTGAAACCAAGCTGTTAGCATTCCTCAAATATGGCTTATTAAATCTAAAATGTAGATTTTTCAAGATGGGTTATTATTTATTGGCATGAGCAGAATACTCTGGCATAATGTAACAGCTCAATTAGTTATCATTATGAAAGTTTGTTTGGGGAGAAAGAATAAACACTTCAAAGGAGAAATGGGATTTCTTTGTGTGAGCCAAGAACACATTGGTTTCTTTTACAGCCTTCCTTATTTGTACATTCATTATGAATACTGTTCATTTATAACTCCTGTGGAGAGCTATCATCTTCACTGCTCTTCATTCGCCACTAGTCAAATTTGCAAAGCATCTGTGCTGGGACATAAAAAATACCATAAATATGATCTTTATTTATCAAAATCTATAGTTCTACTCCAATTTATAAGTTACCATAAATATTATCATTAATAGCTTATTTTAAAGTTGGCTTTCATATACTACTAGATTAAATTTTAAAAAGTTAGCATTTATTCATGTTTAGGATAATTTGGCCTGAACGTGTGTTGTTTCATTCTAGCACAAGGCTAGAACATGGCTTTTGACCTAAGCCAGTCCCATATCTTCATCTGGATCCAAATCTGGATTATACTCTTTGCCAGTGAGTTAGGTCCAGGATATGGTTCTGATGGTTTGCATGGTCCCATATTGTTTAAAATCTGCTGGCCATTACCTAGTTTATGAGGTAGATTACTTGTTTTAGCTCATTTGCTAAGAAAAGAAAGTGTCAGGGTGGGGCCAGATAAGAGGCATCTACTTGGACTTTGAGGTCATTCAAAGTTGTACAGTTGCCAATTAAATTGCCCATCAAACCAATGGGAGGGATAATAACGTTGAGCCCTAAAAGGAGGAGGTCATGGCAGACAGAAGCAACGGAAATGGGACTAGAATGGGAGAGTGTATTTGTTAAGATTGAAACTAACCTGCAATAACAAAGAGGCTCCAAAATATAGGAGCTTAAAAACCAGGCCTCACAGGCTTATTTCTCTTTCATGTAGCAATCCCAAAGTGAGTCAACCAGCTTGGTAGTGTTCTCTGTTGTATGCAATCATTCGGGAACACCAGTTTTTTTCTCTCTTCTTGCTCTGCTGCCTCCCAGGGCATTTGAGTGGTTGAAACTGCCACAGGCACGTTCCCACCCAAAGTGGGAGGGGCACGGAGGGCCACTCCCAGTGTTTAGGGCTCAGACACAGGAGTGCACGGGTTTCCCCTCACACTCCATGGGTGGGAACTTAGTTATAGCCCCACCCCCAGCTGCAAGAGAGGCTGAGAGGTGTGCTCTCTAGCTACCGTGTTTCCCCGAAACTAAGACCTACTCATAAAATAAGCCCTAGCAGGATTTCTAAGCATTTGCGCAACAGAAGGCCTACCCCTAAAATAAGCCCTTAGTGATGGGCGTGGCTATGTGGCGTGTCTGCACAACCCATGCATTTCGTCACCCCAGCGGTAAAGAAGATGAGCAGCCCTTCTCATCTGCCCCATGTTGACAGCTACTATCCCAGAGGTGACCAGAAAGGTGCAGGCAGCTCCACCAACAAGGTCGGCTCCCCCTGTCAGGTCCCGGCCATCCTGTGCGTGCTGCAAGCTGAGGCTTTGAGGGGAAAATAACACATCTCCTGAAAATAAGCCCTAGGGTGTCTTCTTGAGGAAAAATAAATATAAGACCCTGTCTTATTTTCGGGGAAACACAGTAGGAAGTTGTGTCCAGCTACTATTGTATGCAGAGGAGGAGTGGGACTGTAAGATTTTGGTGGACAGCTAGCAGTCTCCTTCCAAAAAGTCTCCAAGAAAAACCAAAAAAGATGCAAGCCATTTGTAGATGTGATGGTGACTTTTCTGAGATAAGACAAATTCTAATTTACCCAGAAGCTAAAATTATAAATAAACAACTATAAAAATATTAGTATTCTCATAGAAAATGGTCTTTTTAATTTAAAAAAGTCAAATTTCCATTTATATCTCTAAGTAAACTTATGTCAAAGAGAAATTGCACTAGGCACTTTTAAAAAATGGCAAGGAAGACTTGCATTCAATACTGTTGCAGTGGGGTCAAACTATTGCAATAGAGGAGAGAGATTGAACCCAACTCTAAATTCAAGAAGAACAGTTGAGGATTATAGGCAATGCATGGGGTAAGGGGGGTCAGTGAATGGAAAATTACTAAGAGGGATTTGGTTAGATATCACGGGTGAGGGGATGAGGAAACTTTATTGGAAACCGAGGGTTGAGGGATTATCCATAAACTGACTTAGCAGGATTCATGGGAAAACTGAGCAGAGCAGACCAAAGATGAGACCTAGTCAAGAAGAAGACTCAGAGGAGCCCGACTAACATTTGGTTAAGAATGGAGTCCTTGTCGACTGTTATTATAATTTAAACTGAGCTAATGCTTAGCTTATTTTATTTTCATATTAATTATTTTGTAGGGTATAGAAAGACAGAAATAGTGTAACATATAGAAACTATATAAATATTTAGGTGGTAGAGAGAGGTAAGGAGCAATGAATATATGTATTCAACATAACTGACTTCATTTCAGTTTTTTCCTTTATGCAGTCTAAGCGTGATGTCGGGGCAGGAAGTGCTAAGTGAATTCTAAAGCTGCCTTCTAGTTCTAAAATTCTCTATTTTAGTTAAGTTAGGTGATAAAAGCACAGTTTTAATTTTGTTTCATAAGGCTATATAGAAGATTGCTATTTTGAGATTTTGTGAGCAACACATTTTTAAAAATCATATAAATCTCAATTAGATGATATGTTACAATGCTTAGTTTTATAAATATAAATATAATAATTTCTTTGTTGGCTTCAAACATGAAGTACTACTAGTCTATTAAAAAGTTTGTGTTTTGAAGTAGTATAATAAATGCTTGTTATTTATTTTCTTATAGCTTTATCATCCCAATGTTGTACGTTATTACAAAACATTTCTGGAAAGTAAGTATGAGTTTTCCTTATGTTTCTAATTAAGGAAACACATCTCTGTTGCTTACATATTTTTATATTAGAATGTCACAAAGTAAACTTCATCAAATATTTTATTTGTTCCTTTGTTGTGAATATAACAGTGGATGATCTCGAGCATCCCTTTCTCGACCAGTGTAACAGTGATGTAATCGATGACTTGAAGGTATAAAAGGCTTATGCTCATCTCCATATGAAAGATACTGCATGAACAAACCAAACTACTTACTGCTATTTTCATATACAGAAAAGTACTTAATAGGATCAGGAAAAAAGAAAACTAAAGGATGGTGGTTTCTTTAAGAAACAATGGAAAGTGGTTTTTGTTGAATTAGATGACATTTTCCACCCCCAAAATAGATTGGAGCAGGCTAGGTCCTTGTGATTTCTTTTACTTGAAGTTCAAGTAAGTGCCATGAGGTGGCAATGGAGCCTTGATTGATTCTGCAGCCAGACTTTCTGCAAGTATGGAATACTGAATCAAAACTGAGATAAAGCCATACCCAGTCACTTGTTTTAAAAAAAATGGGGCCTTTGACAGAAATAAATGTTTATAAATCTTAATGATCTGCGTCATATATGCCATGTTAAATCTCCACTTGAAGAAAGATTTAAAGGAATAAATACAACAATTTGGGCTTCCTCACTACCTCTTTATCAGTGCTGTTATTTAAGAAAACTTTTTGTGTCCTTTGACATATGATTTTACCCATCTCCCTTCCTCTAGGTGACTCAGAAGAACCCAGTGCTCCTGAGTGTAACTCCTGCAGTAAATCCTCTCCCTTAGCTGTTCGTCTTTTTCTTAGTATAGTTTCCTATAACTTAGTACATATCCCTTCAAAAAAAGTTCAAAAAGTTGGCTTCTGACTTGTGCTGAAGTGACACAACTTGTCTTAATATAAAAAACAAATTTAAAAGTTTTTTACAACCCCGTAACTCCCCAAAAGAATTGGAAGTCGCTTAAAAATACATAAAATATCATAAAATAGGTTAGGAAATTGCTAGAGAGAGAAATAAAAGGTGAGAAAAAAAATAAAGCTAGAGGTGAGATTAGTACATACAATAAATATTTCTTGAACTTATGAAAAATTGGAAACAATATAAATGTCTATCTGTAGGAGAATGATTAAATAAATTATGTTATACTCATGTTGTGTTATACAACCAATAGAAAGAATGGTATGGATCTTATGAAATATAAGGTTGTTTAACAAAAAAGGTACAATTTGCAGAACATGTATAGTATGATTCCATTTTTGTAAATGTTGAGTACATACAAATTTTGTATATATCCAAAAGTCATGAAACACATATCATGTTCAATAATTTTATATTGTTTTTAGAGGAGGAAGTAGAATGTACCTCTTTGTTTCTTGGCATCCAAAGCAGACAAATACAATCAGTCATGAAAGTCCCTGTATCCATAAGATAAAACCAGGAGAAGGCCAGCTTTCTCTGCTCTTGAGAGGCATAACAAATTTCTATCATGGGTGGTATTTTCAGCTGTGTCATTGCAAGATCATGGCATTATTCCCGTGTAAGAACCTGTAAGGTAAATCTATATTTGTGTATACTACAAAACAATGTAGTATAAATGCAATTTTCTAAATGTCTGACCTGATGCGAGGGTAAATTTAGACTATTAAGAGGAAAGACAGGTTTACATATTCCTCAGGAAATCCTCCAGGACTGGACATCATTTGTTTATTCTCTTTGGCAGTTTCCAATTATTCCACATCCTGGCATACATAGAAAATTATATTTGCCAGCATACACTTCTGCTAGGAAGCTGCCTGTAGCCAGAAGAGATTTTGGCTGGGCTCTTATTTCACTAAGACCCCCTCTCCTCACCCCTTTCCAGGGCTGAGCGGATTCGTATTTTAGCACATCTCTAATTCTTTAGTGTTGTGCTCTGCGTGCTCATTGGGAAGCTTGGACTCTAATTCATAAGGTTTTTCAAGATGTCTATATTGAATTTAAATTTCTATTACCTTTTTTTTTCATTTTTATATAGATGATAGATTGTACATAGTTATGGAGCTTATAGAAGGAGCCCCACTTGGAGAGCATTTCAGTTCATTGAAGGAAAAACACCATCATTTTACTGAAGAAAGACTATGGAAAATATTTATACAGGTACACTTTTATCTCCATTAAATTTTTATTTAAACAGTAAAGTTCTGGTTTCTTAGAGTCATATGCAGTATTATCAATGGCTGTATATATATATATATATATATATGTATGTTAATAATTTTTTTTTTATTCATTGTTTCAAGCTGTGTTTAGCTCTTCGGTACTTACACAAGGAGAAGAGGATTGTCCATAGAGATCTGACGCCAAACAACATTATGTTGGGGGATAAGGACAAAGTAACAGTTAGTAAGTATAAAAGTACTAAAATTTCTGAGTATTATTCTGGAGTGGTCATGTCCAATAAAAAAACTTTTGGCACTCATGGGAATGTTCTCTGCTGTCCACTATGGTAGCTACTAACCACATGTGGCTACTGGGCACTGCAATATAGTTAGAGTGACTGAGGAAGTAAATTTTAAGTTTTATTAAATTTTAATTAATTTAAATATCCCTATATGACTAGTGGCTACCATGTTGGACAGTGACTAGCATAGTTCTTATTAAATGATTGAGTTGTATTTTGCCCATATAAACGAATAAGTTACTCTTAGGATACTTGAGTATTTAGTTCCCAAATCAATGGTTTCTGGAAAGTCTTTGTGACTGCCACATGAGCACATTGTTGTGAACTATTTTACCATAGTCTGTGCCTTATGGGTGACAAATGTATGTATCGAGTGCTATAAAAATTCAGCCATTTGTATACTTTAACATATAGTTTTTATTACAATATAAAAACTGTATGTTTCATCTATAGCAGGTAGGCCTATTGGACAAAATTTTATAAATTAGAAGGTTTGTTTATTCCCCTCATTTGAGTGATTCTCAATAATAACTTAAAATTAACTTTTTTTAGCTTAGGGTGATATATTAGCTTTTTGCCTTCTTCACTCATGAGCACTTGTATTACTCTTGTGGACTTTAATGGTCCACTAACTACAAGTAGGAAGATATCTTTCCAAATCAGTGGTCTTCAAATATTTTTGATCATAATATCCCATTAGTAGAAATTTTGAGAATATACTGCCAATATATGTAGACTTATTTGTAAATTCTATATGTATATTGCTGTACAAAGATTCTATAGTACATAACAAAGTCTACATAAATAAAACATGAAGAGGTGCATTTAAAAGTCAAAATAGAGGTTTTGGTATTTTTCCTGTCCCGCATTAGATTGCCATAAGCACCCAGCTTTGGAGATCACTGCCCTAAATGTTATCAATGTGAGAAACATATGACATCCAAAGTCAAGACCCTTAGTTCTACAAGAATCTAATTACTCATGAGGCAGTTCCAAATGTACACATTTACCATAACCACATGTCTTCAGAAAAATGATTAAATTTAGTGTTCAGAGTTTTGTAAGTAGAATATCCTATATTAGCTTAAAACAAAACAAAAGAAAAAAAAACCCTCAAACAGAAACTCTATAGGTAATCTTCAGTGAAAAAATTACTTGGAAAAATTTCCAAGCCAATGAATTGTGAAATATAAAAAAGAGACCAAATTATTATGAATCTTCATCTTGGACATGCATTTGCTTAATAATTTGAAATTAATTGTAGTTTTGTTTACTATAGGCTTTTTGCTTTTTCTCTTTTTATAAATTGGACTTGTGTTTCCTTAAACATTTTTACAATTTATTTACATATAAGTATTTCAATATGTAAGTTAATGTGGATTATTATAAACTATGTGTTTGAATTTCATAGTAAATAGTATATCTATATACATATATATACTATATATATAAAAATACAAAACAATCCTAAATGACTTGATGAGGCTATATTTTCTGAGTGATAGCTAACCCTGCATTTTCTTTTCTTACTAAAACTAGCTATAATCATCTCCTTTGGTTACATTTAAATATACTGAACTTAGTCTTTTATTGCCGTAGCCTCATTTCTTTTTTCTAAACTTATTTTAATTAGCTTTTATATTTATATTTACTTTCTTTAATCAGTATTACACACCAAGATAGTTTACAAAATAAAATAGTGTCTAAAAAGCTTATAGAGAAAAACAAGTTTCCTGCCTCACGCCTTTCCAACCCCTACTTCTGTTCCTCCCAGAACAACCTTTTTTAATTCTTTTAAGCTTATTCTTATGGTATTTGATTTTCTATTGTGATAGTTGAGGATTTAGTTTTCTTATTTCCTCTCCCCATCTGCCATCCTGCCAATACAGTTATAGCACAATTTTAGGTTAAGTCCATCTTCAATGTTTATATTATTATCACTGTGTAATGATTGTTCAATGTTGATTTCCTCTCCTTCCTCATATACCGTTTCCCCCCTCCTAGGGTTAATAATTGCCTTCTTTTTTGTGTTCCTAATTTTCTACATACCTATTGTTACTATTTTTGAAATCTTCCAAAAGGATTATAAAAGCCCTCTGTGTACTATTTCCACATGATCACACATGACAACTCCCAATTGTGTTTTCCTGGGCTCCCCATTACTGTAGCTGGTTGTTGCAGGGTACACTGGAGAATTTCACTTTAGGTCTGCTGTACAGGTGTTGTTCTGGAACTTTTGTCTTCTCCTCTTCTGATTGTAGTCTATTTTTTACATCCTGTGTCTTTTTTCTTTTTTAACTTCTCTGCTTTAGTAAAGTGTGTCTTCCAGTACTTTCCTAAGAAAAAGTGCTTTGGGAGTTACATTTTTTGAACGCTTGCACGTTACAAATATTTTTATGGAACCCTTATACTTAATTGGTAGTTTGGCTGAATATAGGATTCTCAGGTGAAAACCCTTATCTTCCCAAATTTTGAAGGCATTTCTTCAATCTTCTAGTATTTAGCTTGGTTTGCTGAAGCTAGTGCTTTTCTAATACCCATTTCCTGATACACGAGCATTTTTATCTTTCTGGAAAGTTTTAGTATGTTCCTCTTATCCACTGCTTTGGATGGATCTTGAACTGGAAGAGTACACTAGGTGTACTCTTTAATCTGGGGACGTAAAACTTCAGTTCTAGGAACTTTTCTTGCATTATCTTCTTTGCTACTTCTCTCCCCTCTGCTTTCTCTGTTTTTCTTTCTTGAGTTCTTATTAGTGTTAGATGTTATATGTACTAAGTGATCTCTTAATTTAAAAAATAATTCTCTTAGTTTTTTAACTCTTTGTTTCTTTGTTGTATTTTAGAGTTTTTTTTAACTTTATTTTCCAGTTATTCTATTGAATATTTAATTTACATTGTCATATTTTAATTTCCAAAAATTCCATCTTGTTTTTTGTTCCATTTTCATGGAATCCTGCTTTTATGCTTTTTCAGGACAATGTAAACCTTTTTTTCTTCAGCACCCTGAATTGTTTCTGGATGTTTTGTCTATATGTATGTGTGCATGTCTATGTGTGTGCGTGTGTGTTGTGTATGTGTGTGTGTGTATTCTGCTTAGTTTAATCTCTCTCTCTTGTTGGAGGCTTTTCTCAACTATCTGGTGACCCTGGGCTAGCCTTTAGTAATTATGAGGAAGGCATGAAGAAGGCTATTGGTAGCTCTGTGAGCTACAGTTGAGATTGTTGTCTGGTGGCCTTTATTACTAAAAAATAGAGATTTTCCTTTATAGACTCCCCAAATCAGTGTCTAAACATTTTTTTTCAGAGATTGCTCCTCCAGTCTCTTGCCCGAGGGAATGTGCATCTATCTGTCTGCTATCATTATGGCAGCAGTGCGAACACACCAGGCTCAGGGAACCCCACTCAGTTTGTAGATTTTCACTGAATTCCTGTGAGTTCAGCCTCACTCTGCTTGGTTCTTTGCTGGTTTACTTTCTTTGGAAAATAAATCTGTTTTCTGTTGGTGGTCGAGGATACTCAATTTACTGGCTGTGGGAGGAGACCTGGGGACTTGATCTCAAGTCCATGTTTGGAGCTTTTGCTTCTCTTCTCCGCTGGGTGGCACCTGGGGCTCTGCAGGGTCAATGGCTCCCTTCTGGGCCTTCCTGTTCCCAGACACATGGGTAGGATTTCTGCTCTAGCTAGAGTCTATTTAAAATCCTCCATCTCTCTTTCCATCTGCCAAAAATTTATTGGAATATTTCATCTTCTGTTGTTGCCAAGCCCATTCTCATTGTCCCCGTGGGTTAGTAATGTTTCTAAGACAATCCTTTTCATTTAGCAAGGTTTTGAGAGTTATAGGTGATAAAAGCATACAGTTGATCCACCTTTTAATCCCAAATGGGCAGGCTAGTTACATTATTAAATGTACATGTTAGACTTAACAAAATATTCCATTTCATGTTGATTCTTTAATAAAAAAAATATATATTTCTGCTGGCACTCAAATTGTCTGGGACTCCCTAGGAAAAGTTACTTTGTTTTTAAAGAATAAGCCAATGTTTTATTTTGTTTTTCTCTGTTTTGCCCCTCATTGTAATTTTGCTTAATCTTATTAACATTGCTCAGAGTTCTACTTAAAAGTTAAAAAATTATTTCCAATTTTTAAGACCTTTTAGCTTTAAGTTAAACAGTATTTTCCTGGTTTCAAATAAAGAAGCCAAGATAAATCTAAGAAGAGAATCTTATCCTAGTCCAGTTTCTCTCTACTAAAGCAATTATATGGTCAGGGAGTTGATGTACTACCATTACTTTCAATGAGTATAAAATGATTTTATGGCAAAAAGATAAACCACAGAGATTTGATATCATTCATCATTTAAAAAATATGTTAAATATAATTAGTGCTGAAACATTTGTCAGTGTCTATCACTATTGATATAAATATGGTCATTAGACTCTTATGTTTAAGAGGGATTGTGGCTACATTATTAATACAACTGTAGAATTAATTTGAAATTAATGTATAAAGTTCCCATATTATGGGAGGTTGAAATATAGTTGCAGTTCAAAAGAGCCTGGCTGGCTGCGGTGGATATGAAATCATGTCACCACAGAGGGGCAGCCTTGTCACGTTTTATTTTTCTCTGGTTGTGCTAGAAGGTTTATTTACTTGCAGAAAAGAAGCACAAAATGGCCAAATGATGTTTTAAGATGCACAGGACAAAGTGTATTGAAAATGTGACTAGAAAAAAAAAAAGCTTTAGAAAAACTGAAATTTGCCTCTTCTCATTTTTCTCAGTGTAGGTGAATTAAATATTTTAAGATTGAGGTTGGTTTACAATTATATATAGTAAGCATGCTGGCTGGTGTTTGCTTTCATGAGAAAGCTGTGTAGAAAGTACTAGTTTATTTCAGTATGCATGGTTTTACAAATCTGTCTACAAACATATCTATTTTTAC